AAATAGGTATCACATTTGCTATTTTCCACTTATTTGGCACCATGCCAGTTTGTAGTGATATGTTGAAAAGATTAGCAAAGGTTTGCTAAGCTCCTCTTTACATTCCTTTAGAACCCTTGCATACAGTTCATCAGGGCCTAGGGATTTGTTAGGTTTTAATTTATCTATTTGCCTAAGGACCATGTCACTTGTGACCCTAATCGTGCACAGTTTTTTTATCGTCCTGTTCTACATAATTTATCATTTCTGGAATATCGCTGGTATCCTCCTGTGTAAAAACTGAGAGGAAGTATGTGTTAAAAATTCTACACATTTCCTTATCACTGTCAGTGAGCTGACTCGAGGAACTTTTGAGTGGGCCTATCTTGTCCCTGATCTTACTTCTGTATACCTGAAAGAATCCTTTTGGTTAGTCTTCGATTCTCTGCAACTTTAACCTCATAATCTGTTTTTGCTTTTCTAATTCCCTTTTTTATTTCTCTCTTTAACTGAATATATCGATTTCTTAATTGCCCCTCTCCTCTTTTGATTTGCCTATATATGCCTCTCTTTTGACCAATCAGATATTTTAATCTATTGTTCATCCATTTAGGATCATTTTTGTTTGATCTGATTTCCCTATTTGGAACATAATTTGACTGAGCAGCTAGAACTATGCCCTGGAAAGCGTCATATCGGCAACCATCACCACCTACCTGACCCTTAGTCAGGTCATTCCAGTTCAGGCCACCTAAGTAATTTTTCAGTCCTATGAAATCAGCCAAGCGAAAGTCAAGGATGGAGACTTGATTGCCATTATTAGGGGAATTCCATGATATATTAAAACTGAGTGATTTGTGATCACTTTCCCCAAGCTCATCATTAACCTCAAGATTATTAATTAGTGTTTCCCTACTGACAAGAACCAAGTCAAGGAGGTTATTTCCCCTAGTTGGCTCTGTCACAAACTGTTTTAAAAAACAATCCTGGATCGTATCAAGAAAGTCACCTGACTCTAAATTTCTTGTCAAATTGCTCCAGTCAATCTATCTATAGTTGAAATCTCCCATTAGCACAACATTTTCGTATGTAGATGCCTTACGAATTTCGTCCCATAGAAGTTTACTGCACTCCCTATCAAGATTTGGGGCCCTGTAAATCACACCCAAAATTAGTTTTTCTCGGCCCTCGAGAAGCTGTAACCAAACAGATTCAGTGGCTGACGCTTCCAATTTTATATCTTGTCTAACACAACAATTTAAATTGTCTCTGACGTACATCGCTACTCCACCACCCTTCCGGTTGATCTTGTCATTGTGGAATAATTTATTGCCTTGTATGTGACATTCAGAGGGCATCTCTCTATCTTTCAGATTGAGCCAGGTCTCTGTTATAGCAATAATATCTATGTTTCCTGCACTTGCAATTAATCTAAGCTCATCTATCTTATTTCTTACACTCCTGCTATTAGTATAGTAAACCTTAAGGGAGCTAGTTCCTTGCTGCCCTCTGCTGTCCCCCTTTGTTTGCTGAACTGATCTATTGTCTTTATTTATAACTTCATGCTGAATGCCTTTTATACATTTACTGTTTCCAACCCTAGTGTTGCAACCTGCTTGCTTCCCACACACACCCATACCTCTATCTTCTAGCAGTTTAAAATCACAGGCATTTCACCAATGGCCTTCTCAATTGAGCTTGCAAGTGCTACCACCCCAGCCCCAGAGAGATGTACCCCATCCCTTGCATACATATCATGTTTGCCATAAAAGTTGTTCCAGTTGTCAATGAATGGGATTGCAAGTTCCTTGCAGTATCTGTCTAGCCAGCAATTTACACCAATTGCCCTAGACAACCATTCATTTCCTACTCCCCTTCCAGGCAAGATGCTACATATGATTGGGACCCCTCCCTTAGACTTAATGAAATCTATAGCTGACCTGTACTTATCTAGCAGCTCTTCTCTCCTACCCTTCCCAATATCATTTTCACCAGCACTGAGACAGATTATGGGCTTGTTCCCATTACCTGACATGATATTATCCAGCCTGTTAACTATGTCCCCAACACCAGCTCCAGGGAAGCACACTCTATCTCTCATCTTCTTATTCCTATTACAAAAAGCATGGTCAATATATCTTACCTGAGAGTCACCATCCACAAGAATGCGCTTACCTCTGTTAGCATGGGCAGTAGTACCCTTACCTTCACTGGTCACTGAAGTACATTCATCCTGAAGAACAGAGAAACGATTTCCTACCTTCAGATCTTCACTCTTAACTTTCCTTATTCTGATTCTCCTCCCATTACTGGTAACTCTCCATCGAACCTACGAATATATAAATTATTATATATATAATATTTTATTTTTATAAAAATATATATATAATATATATATATATATATATATATATATATATAAAATATATATATATATAATATATATATTGGAAGATCAGCAATGGGATCAGGCAACTCTTCCAGTACGACTGGGAGGTACAGGGGTGTGCAAGGCAACGCAGGTAGCCTTACGTGCATTTCTGTCCTCGTTTCGGCTTCCAGTGGACTAGTCAAGGAGATTGCCCCAAAAAACGCTTAAGAGGTGCCGTAGGGGGCTCAAGCCCCCAGGTTCACTGAAGCAGCCATGCTGTGGGACACCCTTGTAGACCCCTCAAGTAGACCAGGTCTTCCGAAAGAGCACAAATAGTCCCACTGGAACAAACCGGTAGTGGAAAAACTGCCAACACAGTGCTCACCGTGCTTCAGGAAAGGAAGGCACCACTTCAGGGGTTCCTTTAACTGTTTTCCCAAATTTCCCCCCTTGGCACTCGACTTGATCCACAGTCCATTGCGATTGCTGTTGCTCTTTGTCTAGCTGCCCCCCCTACTCATCGAACTTAGGGGCATTTGCAGCAGGGCGACGGCTGATCAATTCGGACTTCATGGTCTCGTGTTTTCAGACATGAGGGATCAACGACACATAAAGAGAAGCCTCGCCACAGCCCATTGCCGAGCCCAAGGGGAACCCCAAGTGCAGAGGTCTGACAGAAGTCAATGGAGCCACTATGCTACCCGGGAAGGATGGAGAGCAGATTGCCTGGGACTACACCTGTGCCGCCACATTGGCAGACACCTACTTGCAATACTTCGTAGCAAAAAGGGGTGTAGCTGCCAGCCACAGGGAGACCCAGAAGACCTGCAAATATGAAGGCCTTTCCCCTTGCTATAACTTCATCCCAATAGGGTCGGAGACCCTTGAAGCATGAGGAAAGGGTGTTCTCTAAAGTTCCTCAAAGAGCTGGGTGAAAAACTCATCATAAAAAACGAAGGACCAAAGGCGGCCAGCTTCCTCTTTCAGAGACTCAGTGTTGCGATCCAGAGGGAAATACTTGCAGCATTCTGGGCGCGCGGGCCCACCCCCGGGGGAGCTGGACGAAGTATTCGAGATGTAGCTCTGAGTTATCTATGTTGTTTTACTAACTACTGTATTTTTGTCAATGTATTTTGTTTTTAAAATAAAGTATATATAAAATATAGGGGTAGTAGGAGAAAAAAATTTTTTTGAAACAGCTTCAGGGAGAACCTTGAGTTTTCCCTGAAGCAAGTTTATTGTTTTCTCTGAGGATGAGGATCCCCAGGACAGTTCCAGAGGTGGTACTTCCCTCTCTCTCTCCCCTCTCTCTCTCTCTTTTCCTCCCCTCCCTATATATATATATAATATATATATATTATAATTTTATATATATATATATATAAATATATATAATATATATATATATATATATATAATATATATAATATATAATATATGCCAGGTAATCGAACCCGTGTTGTTTTAGCCCGCCTCATGGTGAGCGAAAATCACGACGCTCTAAAACACTGGACCATAAAATCCTACGAAAAACCCTTTGAGCTTAGCGAACTACCTTTGCTGCAAGTTGGCGAGGACATGTGGTGGTGTAGGCGGCTCAGAGGTAATTTCATTCTGTTGCCCGTTAGGAGTACAGTAACTACCTCCACAAGCAGTAAAATATATTATTGCAGTCACGATCAAGTGGTATTTATCAATGCATATATAAACTCAAATTAAGTTGTAATAAACAACTGTCGATGAATAAACAGAAGAGTGGTCAAGGGCTCCAGCTGCTGTTTGAATATTGACAGTCCAAAGCTGTACTGTCTAGGCTAACCCAGGTCTCTAATAGGAAGGATTCAGAGGTAATGCTTACTGAATTACATTTCCCTCAGAGGCACCAACTGTAACTCAGCTGAACTTCTTTCCTCGGCCCAGGAACTTAAAGCTCCTGTCCGACTTCATAGACGTTTTTGGTGATATATTAAAGTGATTCAGTGAAATAATTTAGCCAGATATAAGCTTCGGAGATGGAGAGTGCTGTTTATTTCGTGCATTTTTGAAAGCTAGGGGTGAAAATGTTTGGCTTGTTGGGCCACTGAACTATGATGTTATTTCTGCAAAGTCGATTAGGGAACAAATGATAGTAAATGAATTTTTTGATCTGGCCACACTGTTCACTTTTATATCAGTATTGTATAATTCCAATTCATTGAGTGAAGATGGGAACAGTTTTAGTCTTTCATTATGGAAATACATAGACACACAGGGAATTATCAATTTTTATATCTTTAAATAGAAATAACTACTTGAACATGTACAGTGATGTAAATACATTAGAGATCGTGGTAGCCAGTCGACTACACGAGGTTTACATATACACTGTTCACTACCAGACAATAATTCTTTAATACATAAAATAACAAGTAACGTAAAGGCTCAATGTTTATACACTTGGTTCGTCTGACAATTCTTAAGCTTGTTTAATCAAGTTTAAATTCTATCGACTACACAAACAGTCATTAAAGACTTCTGTCAAGAGTACCTCAATCCCTTTATTCTTGGTGTATATATCCTTGTGACATTCAATCATTAAAAAAGGCTTCACATGGTACAGCATATGCTTCCACTTAGAATGAAAGGATGGCACAATTTGTATTTATGGACTTTAAGTGTTTATGGAGTTTGCTTCTTTGACAAATGCTAAATTAACATATTCTGATTTACTTGCAGTTTGACTATCTGTGTAATTTAGTTCTCCATTAAATGCTGAACTGAGATACTCTTGTTTTGGAATATTATCATCAGCTGTAAATTTAGTTATTTTATCCTCTGTGTGTTTCTTTTCTTCTGTCACTGTTGCTTTATTTGTCTTTTCACTTATAGCTTTCTGTCTGCGCTCTTGTTGCTGTTTACGGAAACAGTTATAGTTGATGAAAAAGTATAGTATACAGGCAACAGCAGACACTCCAGCTGCGCCTCTGAAGGTGTTACGAATTCCCACCACTTTTATCAGGTTTCCTCCAATAAGACTGCCAAGAGCGCGACCTGTAATGTTAACATAAATATCAACAAACTTATCGGGATGCTAAAATATCACTAGATGATTAAAACTAAATTACAGTACAAATTCAAATTCAGATCACTTTGTATCAAAAAACGGTTTAGAATATTATACATAAAAGTACAATGCATTGTTTACTTACGTATTAGTAAATATACTGTTTGGTGTCCTCTAACCTTTGTTTGAAAAAGTGGCTTAGAAAACCCACAAGTTGATAAATCCCCCCAAAAAACCCCACACCCCACACACACACACACAAAACCCCACACACACGCCCCCCGGACGGAAAACGAATAAATAAGAGGAGTGGCACGAAAGAATCAGCGAGAAATCCCTAGACATCATAGCAGTCACAGAAACGAAACCCTGAGACAATAACAGACGCAATATTCCCACCGGGATATCAGATCCAAGGAAAGATAGAAGGAGTAGAGGGGGAGGAGGGTTGCACTGCCATAAAAAACCGATGGGGATTTGAGGAAATGGAAGCATGGGGCGTGATTTTGGGGAAAGGGACTATAATTTGTTAGGGACAATTCCCGTCTGGAGAACATAAAGTAGTCATTGGAGTGATGTATAACCCACCACAGAACCCGCAAGAGGCCAAGAGAGGATAACGAAGAAAACAACAGAGCGATGGTGGACACACTGGCTGAGGTGGCAAGAAGAGCTCACCCCGAGCAGAGCAAAGTTACTGGTAATGGGCAATTTCAAAAAACCAAAGGAGATCGAGGGGAAAACCTGGACCCCACATGGGGGCCCCGAAACATGGAGAGCCAAAAGATGATGGATGTGGTTCTTAAAAACCTCTTGCATAAACCTTCCCATAGCCAAAGCAAGACGGGGACCCTTGGGGTTCACCCCTGAGAAGTTAAGAAAATTGAGGACATAAATTTACGAGGGGGCCCCTTGGAGCAAAGCAAACACGTGGTTTTGAATTTTGTTACAAGTAGAGTTAATTTTTGAAAAAGGGATAACAGGAATTGGTTTGGGAAAAGCCAAATTAAAAAAGGGGGGGGGACTCCCAAAAGGTTTTGGGGAAAACTTCCTGCGGGAGGTTCATTGGGAAACAGAGAACTGGTAGGAAAATCGGGAAAACGAGTTTAGGGAAAAAATGTGGGAAAAAAAGTGCAGGGAGGCAGGGGAAAAAGATTTTTTTTCCCATGGGAAAAAAAAAATTTAGGAAGCCCAAAGCAAAGTTTTTTTGGTTTCCCCCGAAGGTGTAGGGGGGGCAAAAACTAAGTGAAAACCAGAGAAGGGAAAAGGTAAAAGGAGGCAAAGGACCCAGGAAAATAAGGAGATTAGAGAAAGAGCCAAAAAACGGATGCACAGTAAGGAGGGGGGCCCCAAAGTGAAAAGTACAAAAGGGACATAGTATGGGAAAGTCCAAGTCTCCCTTTGAAACTGTTTGTATGGTTTACCACATTAGGAGGAAACAACAGTCAAAGACCGGTAAAAGGCTGGGGAAAAAGAAGGGGGAGAAACTCACAAAAAAACAACCCAAGAGGTTTTTGGAGGAGCTCAACATGGGGATTTAAGTTAAGTATTTACAGGGGGAGACGGGAAAGGGGCCTCGGGGGGGGACAGACCAGATGGGGACCCCAGAAAGGGAAAAATATCCCAACCCAAGGGGTTTGGTTTGGACATAAATAAAAATGAGGAGGAGGTGAAAAAAGCTGCTAAGGGAATCGATAACCTAAAAGGGCAATGGGACCAAAACATTTTCCCCGGGGGTTTTCCCTTAGAGAGGGAGCGAATATGCTGTGTGCCACTTCCCACAACTTAAAACACATCCCGGGGAAATTTGGGAAATACCTGAGGTAGGGAAGAGGGGAAAAATGTATTTCCCTTTTTTAAAAAAAGGGAAGACAGAAAAGAGGCACAAAACAATAGCCCGTGTCACTGAGGGTGTTTTTTTTTTTATTTTTCACCCCCCGGGCCCGATTCCCCCCAAAGGGCAGGGGGCCCGAAAAAAAAAACTTTAAACCTTTCATTCATCCATCCCCTGCCCTTGCCAGAAGGGTGTTTTAAACCCCTACCATTTTTAAACTGAAACTTTAAACCCCCCCCCTCCTTCAGAGTGCGGGCCCCTGAAACTTCCCATCTCCGGGGTTAAAGGGCCCGGCCTCCCCGGTTTCCCTAAACCCCTTTCAAAAATTTGTTATTTTTGCTCACATCCCAACCCAACCGGTAAAAAGAAATTAAAAACCTTTTTGCCCCTCCATTCACTCCTATCAAACACGCTCAGCAGGGCCTTTTGGAAGCCCAACCCCCCTCGCACAAAAAAACCTCCTTTACTCCCCCTCCCCCCAAAACCCTTTCCTAGGGGGCCCCCAAACCCCCCCCTTTCCCTTCCACTACGGGGACTGATACCCCTTTTAAAGTCTTTCTTTTTTTTCGCTCCATTCTCTCTAAAAGGCCAAACCCAACCCTCAAAAACCCCCTTCCCTCACCCTCTGGACAAAAAGTTTTTTTTAATCCCGCCCCTCCCCTAATTTCCAAATTTCGAATTCCCCTGCATTATTTTCCAAAACCAACTTTGGGCCCTCGGGAAAGACATCTCCCCCGGGCTCCGGGCCCCATTCCTCCTCGCTGCAACTTTCATCACCCCGTTTTTCACCCCCATATAAAAAGCGTTGGAAAAAAACCTTTTACTCTCATACATTCCCCTCTTTCCCTCCAAGGACAAAGTTTCTTTGTTTCCACAGATTTCCTAAGTGCACCACTCACTTTTTTTTTCCCCCCTCAATTCTATGTTTCACCTCATCTTTCATAGACCCATCCGTTTGGACACGTCCACCCCCAAAATATTGAAAAACTTTCACCCCCCCCATACTCTCTCCCTCCAATCTGATATTAACCCTTTCATAAACCAAATCTTTTTGTTTTTTCCTCAAAAAACCTTACTTTTTCCCTTGTATTCCCTTTAATTTTCTTCTTTTGAAACACCCAAAACCCCAAATTCATCCCACCAATCTCTGCAAACTTTCTTTTTCCAGAATCTCCCAAGACCCAAGTGTAGGGGCAAAGAGAACTGTGAAAAACCTCCCCATTTTGGGTGTGTGATTTTTTATTTTTTTAATTTCCACCGCCTTTCCCAAAGGGACCCCGCATTTACTTCTCTTACAACCCCCAATCTTTAAATATTTTAAAAACAACCACGGGACTTTCACACACCCTTTGTCTAAGGCCTACTTTTACGGGGAAAAAAAATTTCCCTCTTTCCTACTACTCTAACTTGAGCCTCACAATCCCCCTTTTAAAAAACTCTTCACTGTTTTCCCAGAAACCCTACCTCCTAAAACCCATACCCCTTCCCAAAAACTGCCCTTTGGGGCCCCCCTATCCCCCCCTTCAAAACCCCTTTTTCCCCAAAATCCAAAATGCCCCCAAAGCCTTTTTTGCCTTATAAAAATACTGTTAAACTTATATTTTTTCCCCCGGGTAAACACCTGGTCCACCCCACCCCCTTTTTTTCCTAAAGCCTCCTTGTTCACTGCTATCCTTTTTCCTCCGTTTTTTTTTCTTAATTCTTTCAATTATAACTCAAAACCAAAACATTTTTCCGGGTTTAAACTAAACGGGACTTTTTCCCCCTAAAAATTTTTTTGCACTCTTTTTTTCCCCCCCTTTTGTTTTTATACAAAGGAACAAATGCTGCTCTTTTTTGCCAATCCCTATTTACCTTACCCTCTTCCATACATTTATTAAAAAATTTGGGCCCCAACCACTCCAAACTAAACCCCCACCTGTTTTTAAAACTTTTCTATCTTTTTTTCCCATCAATCCCGGTTTCCCCTTCCCCCTTTTTCTTTTTAAAACCTACTGCCTCACAATTTCCCCCCAAAACCTCAAAACGGGCTCTTCCTCATTTCCAAACAAGATGTTTTTCCCCCCTTTTGCCCTATACACGAAATCACACCCCTTCCTATCTTCATCAACATTTAACAATTCCTAAAAAAATTTTCCCCTTCCCAAATCTTCCCAATCCCTCAAACCCTCCCTTTTAAGTAACTCTCCTTTTCCTTTTTTTAAACGAAAAAACCATTTGTTCTTAGGCTTTTTTAACCCTTGTTAATCCCCACTCCAAAACTTTTTTTTATTTTCAAAAAAAATTTGTTGAAAAAACATCTCACTAACCCCACTCTCTCATTTGCTCTCTTTTTACTTTCCCCTTTCCCCCACTCTTTTAAACTTCTCTCTTTTTCTCCCAATTACTTTTTCCCTCCTTGCATCATTTTAAACCTTTTAAAAACTTCTTTTGGGCACTTTTTTTTTCCCTTACTTCTTTTCTTTTCATCATCATTCCCCCCAATCGCTCCTCTTTCCCCCCCCTCCCCCCCCCCCACTTTCCTGTTTAACAAAAAACTTCTGCTGAAAACCCCTCTAACACTACATTTTTAAACCCCACCCCCCCTACCCTTCGAAACCCCCTTGCCTATGCTCTCTTTAGCCCATCTTTCCCCCAATAAAACTTTTATTCTTACCCCAACTGCCCCCTCTTTAGTTTATAAAACCCTTTACCTCTCTCTTTTCCCCGATGCTTCTATTCTCCTTGAAACCCATCTACCTTTTACTTCAGTGTAGCTACAACTAGAAAATGATCTGATATATCTGTGGGCCCCCCTATAAAATGTCATTTCCCGAAGTCTACCCCAAAAAAGTCTTTTATTACCAATAATAAACCAACAAAAATTTTGTCATTTCGCCCTAAAATCTTTGTGTTATACCTTTTTTATCCTCTTTTTTTTTAAAAAAATTGTATTACCTTAACTAAAACCCCCTTTTTATACTGACGTTATAGTATTGCAAATTATGGAGAAGATTATAAAGGGGGAGAGTGGGGAACACCTGGGAAAAGAAAAGAGATTAAAACGCCCAAACCCGAAGGATTAATGGGAAGGGGAAAACCCCGGGGTCCCCAAACCGTTTTGGAGTTTTTGATAAAAATAACAGAAGTAAGACCCTGAGAGGAGGGCTGGGT